AAGTATTACTTTTTTAAATACTAATTATTGTTTTAATTACTAAAAATTTAAAATATTTCTAATAATTTAATTTTTTATTTGTTAAATATACTTTCAAAAAAACTTAATTTTTTACTTATTAATTAATTTTCTAATTACTTAACTACTTAACTTAATCAACAACTAAATAAGCTTAATTACTAATTAATTTTAAAATTACTAAATAAATATTACAATTTAATTAAAATTTTAATTACTTAATACCTTTACATAATCAAAAACTAAATAAACTTCATTACCAATTTTTTTTATTACTAAATAAAATTTCAATATTAATTAATTTTGTAATTACTTAACACCTTTACTTAATCAACAACTAATTAAACTTAATCACTTATTAATTTTTTAATTCCTAATTCTAAATTCAACAAGTATTAGTTTTTTAATTACTAATTATTTTTGTAATTATTAAAAATTTAAAATATTTCTAATAACTTATTAAAAATTTTCTAAAATAATTAACTTTCAAAAATACCAACAATTAAACTAACTAAATTAATAAATAACATTTAACAATAACTAAATGACCAATTAATAATAAAAATTAACAATTAAACTAATAACAATAACAATTAAATTTTCTTAACGATAAAATTAACAATTTAAACTCTCACAATTAACAACAATTAATAACAATTATATTTTTTTAACAATTAAACTAACTAAATTAATAATTAAAAATAAATTAATTAAATCAATAATTAATAATAACAATAAAAAATAATAATAATAATTAAACTCACAATTAACAAAAAGTAATAACAATTAAACTAACTCAATTAACAATTAACAATAATATTAATTAAATCAATAATTAACAATTACAATAAAATTAACAATTAACAATAATATTAATTAAATCAACAATTAACAATTACAATAAAATTAACAATTAAACATTTAAATTCTGATAATTAACAAAAATTAATGTCAATTAAATTTCTTAACAATTAAACTAACTAAATTAATAATTTACAATAATATTAATTAAATCAATAATTAACAATAACAACAACACATGCAATTAACAATAAAAATTAATTAAATTAACTAATAATATTTAAATTAAATTAACTAATTAATTGGAAAAATTAAAAAAAAATGAGGGGTTAGATGAGGGAGGACCTTTCATCAACACAAGGAGGAAAGGGGGTTGCGCCGGTGAAGGGACTTTGTCGGATCTGGTTTAGTCAAAAAATGATTGGTGGAGGAAGAGAGGAGAAAGGAAGAAAGAAAGAGGAAAAGAGGGAAGAAAGGGGGAGAGATGGAAGAGAGAAAGGGGAGGAGGAGGAGAGAGAAGAAGATTGGAAGGAAAATAAGGGAGAGGGGGAGATTTGAAGGAAAAAATGGCCAAATCGGTGTCGGAAACGAGGGAGAAGAAGAGAGGGAAGAGAAATATTTTTTGGACAATTTTCGGCCATATTGGTTTTTAAAGGTAAAGTTTTAGTGACGGACCACCACTCGTCACTAAAACTCATCGCTAAAACCATCGCTAATTGGCGCTTTAAAAAAAAAATTGAAAAAGTAACCGTTCCCCCCCCTCCGACGAAAATAAATTAGACTCGTCGCTAATTTAAACTTTTGCAAAGGTTTTTTTTGCAAAAAACCGTCGCAAAAATTATTTTCCAATTTTTTTTAAAAAATTTCAATTTGCGAAACCGTCGCTAGTTCCACTTTTAGCGATGGTTTTTTCTAGAAAAACCGTCGCAAAAATGGTTGATATTAGAAAAAAAATAATTATTGGGTAATTAGCGATGGTTTGTTAAAACCGTCGTTAAAAACAACCTTTTAGGTGAAATTTAGCAACGGTTTTATGGATCCTCGCTAAAGTACTTAAAACCGTCACAAATTCCGTTAATTAGCGACGGTTTTTGGACCGTCACTAATAAACCGTCATAAATCCGCTATTTTATTGTAATGAAAGGTTTTAACATATTCAACTACAAGTTCTTGAGAGCAGCCTTTTAGCATCGATCTGGCTTTATACTTTTTTACTAAACTATCTAGATTCATTTTGGCCCTGTATATTCATTTTACTTCAATCACTTTCTTATGAGTAGGCCTATCCACAAGCTCCTAAGTTTTATTTTTATTGATCATATCAATCTCCTCCTGCGTTGTAACTTTCCATTCAGCATGTTTGGAGGCTTCCTCAACGCAATTAAGTTAATTGACAACTATGTTACACATTTGTATACTTCTTCTATACATATCATATACATATTTAAACGTTTTAGGTTATGGTGAAGATGAATCTCCTCTTGCTTGTGAGTATGGTGATGATTCAGTTGAACCTTTATATGGAGATGAGCTCTAAATTTCTGCTTCTATATCACTTGACTCTTCTTCTGGCATATTGTGTTCAAGTTATAGAGAGAGACTTTGATGTCTTCTTTTGACTTTAGACTCCTCCTAATTCTAACTTGTATTTTAGTCGAACATCTCTACTTGTCACCACCTTTTGCATCGAGAGATAGCCCTTTGATTGTGAGATATATCCCAAGAATACACACTTCTCTGCTCTATACTCTAGCTTGTGCCTCTTTTTCTTTAGGACATGAATATAGCACAATGAGCCAAACAATTTTAAATGCTTCACTCTAGGATTTAAACCATTCCATGCTTCAATGAGTTTTCTCTTGAACTGTCTTTATTGAAAGCCAGTTCAGCAATTACGTAGTTGTATAAATAGCCTCTACAAAAAAAATCTTTGGGCATATTCTTCTTAGTAAGCATGCATCAAGCCATCTTCATTAATATTTTGTTTTTCCGCTCAGATACACCATTTTTTTTTTTTTCTGGAGTGTAGGCTGCAGTGAGTTGATGTTCAAGTTACAATCTTTATAAAATTGATCAAACTCTACCAAAGTATACTCCTCTCTATTTGATTTGAGTATTTGATACTAAAGAACATCTTAATGAATTTAGTACTTTTATTAGTCTCCATAGCAATGGTGCCTCTGCCTCGTGACTTCACTACATCTCAATTTCTCATTCTTATAGGGACTTTGACAGTTTCATCTAACTCTTTGAATATCTTTGGATTATTGGTAATGTGATTAGTGTACCCGTTGTCAATAAACTAGGTCTTTTTGCTCTTACAATCTGGCATTTGAATTGCAGCAAATAAATGATCTTCTTCTTGTTTATTTTCAGTAAAGTTGACCTATTGATTTTGCAATTGTTGTTGAGTGCTTCTATTCTGCTTAAGTCTGTAATTCTTTTTTATGTGGCCAAAACTTCTTACAATATATGCATTGTAGCTTTATTTTGTGCCATCAATCTTTCTCCAGATGATTGGTTTTCTTGCCTACACCATAAGAAGGAAGTTTTCCCTACCTTTCTTGTTTCCTTGCACCACTAAAACTATCCCCATTCTTGTTGCCTTTCTTCTCACTATTTTGACCTTTTAACTTTTTGGAGAATTGTTTTTTGAATGTGCTTCAACGAAAAGCACCTTCTAGTGAAATTTGTGCTCTACTAGAAAATCTTTGCTTAAGTGCTTGTAATGGTCCTATCAATTTAGTGAATGTAAGCTATGATAAGTTTTTAAACTCCTCAATAACTGCTATAACTTAATCAAACTTGTCTGATAGATTGATCAATACTTTTTCAATCACTCTTTCATCTGAAATTGATTCTCCATGAAGTCTCCTCTGATTCACAACTTTTGTCAGCGTTGAAGAGTAATCATTAACTGTCTCAGCTTCTTTCATCTTGAGAATTTTAAATTCTTTTCTGAAAATTCTGCAGCTTAATGATTCTTGCTCTCTTGGTGCCTTGAAATTCTTCTTCCAAGATTTTACAGGTTTGCTTTATTGTGATTGCTCCAATTATTCATAGAAAAATCGTCTCTAAGACTGCTGAGTGCATGAGAGTGAGGGCTTTAATATTTTTTACTTCTTGCTTCCTTTTCTTGTTTTGTCTAGCTGAAAGTTGTACTCCTATAGCTGGTGGTTCATAGCCTTGTTCTACAAATTTCCACAATTCATTTGCCACGAAAAAACCTTCGCTTTGACCGACCAAAAATCGTAGTTTTCTCTTCAAGATGCAAGTGGAAGGCTACCTGAAGGCATTCTTTTTTAGCCCTTAAGATCCTTAGGAGCTCCGATACCACTTGTCGGTTTGTTTTTAAACGAATAATTGAGAAACTAATGACCAGAAACGTAAGATTGATTTTACGTAATTTTGCATTTTATTTATCGACTGCACATATTGTGGATAGTAGACATCCCCATATATAAAGTTAGTTAGGTTACTAGAGAGTTCTAACAAGATCAAAAGTCATTATCTAATTCCACTAACTTGCTGCTATCAATTTCTTGCCATAACTTAAGGATTACGACTTGATTTTATCTATAGATATATTTTCTTAAGAGTATTTTACAAAAGTATCACCATTTTAATAGTTTTCATTGTTGAAGATTGCTTGAGTCTAGCTGGTGATTGCTGGTGTCCAAAGATTGCTGGATATAATAGATTGAGAAATATTATCAACAATGTTTATTGACAATTAATGTTATCAACAAACTTTTCCTTGTTGGAAATGAGGCAGCCTTGTAGATTGGGAGTGTTTTACTACCACGTACAGTGACTTCTCCTAAGAGCAATGTAGGAAAAATTTTAGACTTAATTAATTTATTTAAAATTAAAAAATTATTTTAAACATATTTGTTTCCAACATGAAAATTCAATTATACATGCACCAAATGAATTCAACTCTACTGATAGAATCACATTCAATTCTATCAAAGAATTCCTTCCTATATTTCATGCAGTTGGACGCAAAGCTTCACACATTCACTTAAAAGTGCATGAGAGGGAGAGATGGGGAGTTGCACTATATATATATATATATATATAGCAAAGGTTTAAATATAAATCCATCGATCTATTATATCCAGCACCAACATCATAATTGGTGAACAATATCCACTATCATCTATACAGCCATTTTTGGACTAAGCGGAGGAAGCCCTAACAAGAGGTGAATTAGCATGTGCTGCTATGGCAAGCTCAAACTGCCTCGAAGTTGCAGATTGAAGGGAAAGCAACTCGGGAGAAATGAGATTGTCCCAGCCGAGAATGGGATTGGAATTTGGTGATGAGGCATCCCACCCTATGTGTGTCACATGCTTCACATCTGTTGGCAGCCCAATTTCCATTTCCATTTCTTCAATCTCTTCTTTGTAAGCTAGAACATATATGTATATATATATAAGAAAATTAATATAAGTATGACGCATAACCATTAAGGTCATTTTAATTATTGATTTATTGGCTGCATGCATGCAAGGACACACATACATACATACATTAATTAATGTTTCAGTGTCGTAATATTTTCTTTTTAAAAAAGTAAAGGAATGAACTGAAAAATCAATTTAGACTCACCAAATAATTGAGAGAAGGTCTTGAAACCCTTGACTAGCCTATGGAACCCAGTGGATATGTTAGGCTTTGAAAGAGCAAGGAACTTCAACGAATTCTTCATACTTTCTGTACTTGATGAGCTTTCCTCGTCTTCTTCTTTTGTTCCTATTCAAGGGCAATATACAAAAACCAAAATCAAATAATTTAGTCTACAGAAAGAAATAAAAAATAAAAAAGGGTAAAGTGTGTGTCTGTGTTAATTAGAGAGAGGGAGAGACAGACTTGTCGCAGATAAATTTGTGTCTATCTTTGTTTTTCGAGGTTGGTGTACGCCTATAGCCACACTTGACTCAGAGACACAACCAATGGAGAAAGGAAGAAGAACGAGCCTTTCCATTTTGTCCCTCATTTCTACATCAACAAGCTAAGAAACAAAGATATAGGAAATGAGTATAAGGTAGTGGTGGTGGAGGAGGAGGAGGATGAGTGAGAGAAAGAAAATAGGGTGGTTGAGGAAGTACAAACCCTACAAACTGAAATTGGTTTGTTATAATAAGAATAAACCTGGCTTTGAAACCAAGCTACTATAATTTGACTGACAGGAAGTCAAGCTATGCATATGAGTTTAGGTTGGTAGAGATCGTATAGATTGGTATGTTTGGACGTGTAATGAAACACATTACCATGTTCAATTGTGAAGTTTAGCCTAATAACAGACCCAACACACTCTCACTCAAGTTAGGTAGAACTAACTCTATGTTTATCCCACTCTCACTCAAAACAACACCAAAATATTATCTTTCAGTTTAAGTTCTACAGTGGGCTCGAACCTTACTTGCCACTCTTATGGAATAAGATACCTTCTAATATTTCTCCTTTCTTAATTTTTCTTATTCTCTTGTCACTTAATTTGTACTCTACACCAAACTTTTGTAGTAGTGCATCTCAAGCGATCTTTCCCGTAAAATTTGAAATTAGCTCTTCCCCATGAGATCAAACAGCACTTCATCTTGATTCTTAAAAACCAAACCAAAAAAAAAAAACATCATTGATTGTTAGAATAAATTTGTTGAGGAAAATGATGTCCTTGGAGTGGAGATTACTTGGTTCTAAAATAGTAAATTAATGCTCTTCTGGAAACTGTCTTTTCACAAAAAATAAATTAAATAAAAGTATATGCAATTTGGTTATATTCATAGGTTCAAAAACTTTAGAGAAATTCGTTGGGGTTTGAAATCAGAGAGGATTGATGTCCGATAGTTAATTGGGACAAGCATTCTCTTGTTGGCATCATGTTTCAAATTAACCTTAGGTTAGGTTAGGAGAACTAAAAATTTTCTTGAATTCCATAATCTCGTTATAACTAACTAGCTTGTGTGCTTTAGATTAATCAAAGCAAAGAGGTAAGTTGATCTCTATAAACAAAATCAATATTTGCTGGAATTAATTCTAATTCATTTGATTTTCAGCAAGTACTAATTAAAGAGTGAATAGTTTTATGGGTCCACAATAATGCAATAAGTAAAGAGGCTATTTACTTGCTTTGAAAAACAAGTTGGCTGTTGGCCAGAATAAAATGGAAAAAGGAAAGAACTTCTAATAAAGGGAAAAAAAAAATCGAAATTATGCAACAAGTATAGAATAAATTTACTTCATCGGTTGTCCAAGATTTGACAGAAACTTTGTATTTTCTGTAAACAAATCTAATTGCATCATGCAGCAACAAACGATGGGCACGAATGGTAGTATAACCCAAATTAACTTGCGTTTCCAAAGAAATTTAGGCCTCTAAGAAATCCAAATGGTAGATCCCTCGAATCTTGAAATGTACACTTAAGGACACTACTATTAGGGGATTCCGTAACACCTCTAACCTAGCACTTAAATAGACCGAGAATATTATCGTCGTTAACTTGCATTTAGAGTGTAATGAATGCAAGCCAACAAGGTACTAAATCCTTCCTATGACATTAATAAGTATGGGTTATGTCGCGGAAGTCTACTAAATAACCAATAGGTCCTAAATTTCATCCCAAAAAACGCTGCTAAATTTTTTTTGTTTTAATATTTTATTTAAATAGTTTGGACTAAATTGATTGGATCCGTGCTTGTCGATTTTGCCAAATTCTTTTTCTATAGGCCAAAATAAATTTATTAAATTCATATAGTCTATACCAATTATTTGGTAAAATAACCTTTTCCTTTATTAATTTTATTCCTTTCTTATTATTATCATGGTCACTTAATTGTCCATTTTATCGTAAATGTTGGCATGCGGATAATCAACTAAAAGAAACTACTCCAACACACTCGCTATACTAGAAACTACTATCACACATTGCTATACTATTACATTATTATCAACATGTCCAAAATTTAGTTGATGTACAACCTAACACTTAAATAAGCTGAAAATATTATCGTCGTTGACTTGCATTCGGAGTGTAATGAATGCAAGCCAACAAGACATTATATCCTTCCTATGACATTAATAAGTACGGCTTATGCTGCGGAAATCTACTAAATAACCATAGATCCTAAATTTCAACCCAAAAAACATTGCTAAATTTTTTTTTAATATTTTATTTAAATAGTTTGGACTAAATTGATTGGATCCGTGTTTGTCGATTTTACGAAATTCTTTTTCTATAGGCCGAATAAATTTATTAAATTCATTTAGTCTATACCAATTATTTGGTAAACTAACCTTTCCCTTTATTAATTTTATTCCTTATTATTATCATGGTCACTTAATTGTCCATTTTATCATAAATGTTGGCATGTAGATAATCAACTAAAAGAAACTACTACAAGACACTCGCTATACTAAAAACTACCGCCACACATTACTATACTATTACATTATTATCAACATATCCAAAATTTAGTTGATGTACAACCTATCCATATTTCACTATACTACTACAAAAGTGATTTATTTATTTACAAACTATTTCCCATCATTAGCTAACCATTACTTGTTTATAACTTCCACTATCATATAAAATAGAGAAGACATACCCAGTACGTATGCTACAATAACAAGCATTAGTAGATAGTGTGGAGTAGGTCCAATTTACACCCGTAAGTGAGATACATGCAACGAATCGACGGGAATGATCCTTTAGTAATTAGCTCAAATGAGAACATCGCCATTAGTATTTACCTTTGTTTCCTACGTCACAAGAACTCGATGAGCGATTGCTCGGTAAGTTAATCATGCATGCTATATATGAATGCAAGTGAAATGCACATGAAAAAACGATTTTCACGTTCGAAATTCTTGTTCCATGCCATGAAATCCTTTTTCCATGATCATTTAAAAAAATCTTTTCCGTGTTTAGGCACGCTCCGTCGAGTATTTGAAGGTACATGTCCGTACCCACCCGGCTAACTACCAAGCATCTAAATGTACACATCTACACATTTCTAGTGTCGAGCATCTAAAGTACACGTTTGTACCAACTTGGAATTGTTGAGTATCCGAAAGTACATGTCCGCACCTATGAAATCCATGAATCATGAAACTTTTTCCATTTTTCTTTGGAAAACCATGAACCTTTCAATGACTTGGCATGCACATGCATAATCTTCATGAATCCATGTAATGCATGTCATGTGGGGTGTGTATTTATACCATGACATTGCATACCACAACATTAATAAATGCACAACAAGGTACATTACTTTGCTATTCATTAACCATTCAAAGTACACAATACAACAATTGAACAATCAATATGGTGCACCATAAATGTCACATTTCATAGTGTTAATCAATTCACCATACATTGCACCAAGCATCCATTCAAACCAAAACTTTTATAAACATAAACATTTATGTCACAAACATATAATTACATACTTTGAATAGATACACCGCATTTAATTCATCAAGAAACCGCAAATTTTAACATTTACCCATTCAAATATCAAAGTATACCAAAAACCCTAATTTCCACCTAAGTTAAACTAGGTGAATTTTTCAATTTTAATGAAATTTTTCATACTAAATCATCTAATTACACTATAATAACACATAATCAATCAAACAAACATTAAATAGACAAAAGTACTAAAACACCCCTAAATTCACTATTTAGGTCTAATGGTCCATCTAAAATGGACATAGGAAGTTTTCATTTTTCTTACTTATTTTCATGCCCAATTAACATTTTTCCAACTTCAATTTTACCTTTAAATCCATTTCTCCCAATTTACCTTCATCAAGAACCCTAATCCCAATTCACAAAATTAATCTAATTAAACACAAATTAATTAGGTAAAACCAACAATTAACATCAATTAGTATGCTCTTATAGTGTAGGTGAGATTAACTTACTTCAAAAGCTCCAAATTAGTCTTTATTAAGTTGGTTTTCTTTTAAATTTTTCTTCCACTTTTTCTCTTCTAAGTGTACTTTCTCTCTCTTTAGAAATTTTGATCTTCCACCTAAAATTCTAAGCTTAATGAAGTGTTTTAAAGTGTTTAGGTGAAATTATTTGTGATTTTCTCGTGAAAAAATTGCAAGAGTTTTTTAATTTTCTAACATTTTTCTTCCTTCCTTTCTAGCCATATTTATAGGCAAGCTTGGTAGACTTTTTGCTTATTTGACTTCATCTTGGCCCTTCATTTGGTTTAATCTCTATTCTTGATTTTACTTTTAATCCTAACATTTCAATTGTTTTAATCCTAACCTTCCATTCTATTTTAAATCTCATCCATCCATCTCACCTTCATTCTAGCTTTCCATTGGTTCATTAATCACTCTTAATTATTAAGGGTATGAAGCAACAAAAGATGAGAGCAAAATCGCTTCCAAAAGTTTTTATTTTAGTGAATCAATCTCTCAATTTATCCAATTTTTACCTCTACTTTTAGTCCTTCCCTTTTTAATTGACTACTTTTTTATCATTCCTTAAAGCATTTCTAACATCTTTTTGCCACGTCAAATTTATTTACAAATTGATTTGAAAGCCTAAACTTTTAATTTTATGCAATTAAATCTCTATGTATTAAATCTCTATGTATGCATAATTTATTCCACTCTTCTGAAACATAATCTATTTTCATAATAAATTCAAATACTTCCTATAATAATTTATTCATCATTCATATAATTTTTATATACACATTTAAGCACTCCAATTAATTATTTTGTATAAAAATATACTTATTTATGCAGTACATATTCACCAAACACAAAAAAATTCACATAAATGCATAAAATATTCTTACTCCCCTCTTAATAATTTTTCTATGCTCAGAAAATAATTTTCGTGCACATCCAAATCACTCAAAACAATCATTTTATATAAAAAAAATATTATTCATGCATCGAAAAGCTAATAAAATATCCACTAAGCACATGAAAATTCTTTCAAATGCACAAAATATTCTAGCACCCTTCAAAAAATTATTCTATACACAATAATTTTCACATACATTTAATATATTTTAATATATTTATTCCTAGGCTTAGGATATAACAAATTTTCTAATAAAACTTTTTGGACAATATTCACAAGGAAAGTTTACATAGGAAATTGTAACCATGTAAAATATAGGAGCCAACAATGACCAAATCAAGATAATATCATAAGCAAGCTAGCTAGGAGTTTGACAATTTTATTTACACATGCATCAATGAGTTCATCAGCAAAATTTGAAGAAAACCTTTTAACTATATTTATATATGCTACTTGTACAAAAGAATATGATCTGTCTGGAGTCAACCAGTTAGCAAAGAGTCTCTGTTGACCCAAAAAAAAAAAAAAAAAACGGCAGAAAGAGCGTAGACGCTTCAGAAGTCAAAAAAAAAAACAAAAAAAGGTTTGCCTACATTATCACTTATAGAGGAGGATAGATATAAGAGGACAAGGAAAAGCAAAGGAAAAGTAGGCCTCCAATTGTAGCAACTGTCCCTTGCGAGATCTTAGATGCTAGCATGCTTCCACCCACTACTGCCACAGAAGTGCAGATCGTGTGTCCGAAAGTAGCCCCTACTGCTACACCGAGCGCATTTTTGTGTGTTGCCAGCTGTAGGACCAGAAATTCTCGTCAAAATATTACAAGAAAGTGACAAAATACCTAGATTCTACAAAATTGCAATTAGAGATCATTCTGAGTTCCACGGGAATATAAACCCAGCTACAAGATGATAAATCATGTTTGATATTCTACCAAAACAATTGCATACGTCCCTAGAGAATAAAATAAAAACTGAAAGAACACAATTTCATCCTAATCAGTCTTTCCCATTCAAATCAATCTGGCTAAGTAAAGCAAACAGCAGACATCTTAATTATGGGAACCATGCCGATTTTTCAGGCAAAATCTTCATTTCCGCGTATGGGTTTATAAAATCCTGTGTTCAAACTTCAAACTATTTCACAAACACATGCAAGTCACATGCATAAAAAAATCATATAGAGAGAATGCGCACAACCAAAGAGGAACCATAAAATCACGTGGATAGAGGGCTATTGGCAATTGAAGACTACAAGTCCAGGATCTTGTTATGACAAACCTCGGTTCTCATACTGCACGTAGGCAAATTGCAATAAACACAGCATAATAAAGCACACAATTTAAAGGGTTTGACAATTTGCCTACACAAGATTTTTTCTTTTCCTTTTCTTTTTCTTTTTTTCACACAAGGCTTCATTAATATAATTATTGCACTATTTACACGAAACTTTCAAGAAGCCTAACATGCAAAAACCCAAAATACTATTACATCCAAGAAAATGTGACTGAAAAACCTCATTACAAGACCTCATAAAAATTTATTGAATTCTCTCTGCAAAACTAGGATGCAACAGACATAACCCTAAAAGGCTAAATTCTGCTGCCTTTCTTGTACTGCACATATATAAGTTGGTAGCTAGCAGCTGAGCACACCATGCTAGAAGAAAGTTATTTAATTGCTTTTAGGCCAGCTGACAAAATCTCGGAAGACAAAGTTGCAATCACATGTGAAATTAAATATGGCATAGTGGGGTGTATCAAAGCCCATACATACTACCAGCTAATCAGGACATACCACCATCAGGTATGATGGTTTGTGAGTTTACTTCTGTGATATGCCTGTAACAGCAACCATATTATGCAAAAGAAAGTCTAAAATACAAGAAAACTTGGAACCCAAAGATCATAAAAAATTTTAAGTCCTACTTAGCGGCTTGTCGTAACAAGCATTTACCTCTACAGCAGTCTTGCAATAGTGTAGCTTCTTGAATTTTCATAGGGGGATCTACCATAGGCATCACTAGAGTATCCTTTAGAGTACAGAAAGATTGGAGAGCTTTATTTGATGGAGTAATTTTCTTGTTCCAAGGGTGGATGTCATATCCTCCATTTTTTGCTATATTCAATTTCCTTCTTAATAAAATTATTTCTCTACAATAAAACAAAAGGCCCAATATCCTACTGCAGCAATCATTTAAGGAGTTAAATCCTAATTTACAGCAAATGAAGAGAAAACAGAGCACTCAAATGACCAATCAGCACAAGAAGAAAACGAGAAATAAAATGTCACAATTAGGCAAATGAAGAATTATAACTTAGCCATGCCATTATAATCTTGATTAGGACATAAGAATCGAAAATGAACTTACAGCAATTGTAGCAATCTGGCTACGGTCTCCCCACTCAGCTATAAAGGTTAAAATAAATGACTGCATAGAGAAACAAAAACACTTCTGCTGAGATGCTGTCAGGAGAATTATAACAAGAATACCTAAAACGAACATAATCTTAGACAGTGATCATCGTACCAAAATACATAGTGGCACAAGGACTTGGCATTGCAAAATCCCATCACAATATCACACATTAAAGAATCTGAAATATTTCATGAGACCAAAATGCTGAAAGCATGATGCATTACACACCTCCAAAAATATTGGTGTACAAAATCTTGAAAAAAACGGCGGAAGGATGTTTTCCCTTGACCTGCCTCAAGTTTTTCTTCTACCTGAACACACAATGTACAACTTCAAGATATAGATAATGCCAACACAGGAAAGGTAAATTCAGAGAGAAGCAAATCAAATTTTAAGCTTCAAAAAAAGATCTACAGAAATTCTTTTGAAAAGAGATCACAATAACATACCACCATGCTAGGTGCCTCCAATTATCAAATTAATAAAACTACACACAAATCATATATTAAGAAAGAATACTGAAAAAAAACAAGGGAAAAATAAAACAGGGCAAAAAACAAGGCAATATTGGCTTTTAAAAAAAAAGGATGAAGAAAAAAACAAAAAAAAGTGGGATCAGAAGGCTGATGATGATCAGGAATTTAATAGCAACTTGGCTAAGCCAACTGAATATAGTAATAATATGATAAAGGCACAGTTTACTAGTGCTCCCAAAGCCTACCAAAACACTAGAGAGAGAGAGAGACAGATAGACAGGAGGAGGAGGAATAAAACTCCACATATTAAACATGCTAGCCATCCTATCATCATTTCTCTCATCCACAGAGACATACCAAACCTGAAATGAGAGCTACAAGAATCTTGAACTCTCTTTTGTTTAATAGGAGATTTTATATATTTTCAGTGATGGAAGAAAAGGCGTCTTCTGATTAGAACATGTAATACATGCATAAAACAGATTTAAGAACAGGAAAAACATACTTCCTCCATTTCTTTTTTCTGGGATGATTTTGAATCTGATCTCCAAGCAATGTAAAGCAATCGGAGGCCAAAAAATGCATACAGAACTGCATATGGAAAGGATACAATGGTTAGTTTTCGAATTCAACCTGATTCTATCACACAAATAAGATTGGCCAACTTCCATTTACCATGTGAGAGTGAAATATGAAATCAGAAGTCAAACTAAGACTTCTATGTTTTATTGACACGGTCAATGCCTATCACAAGTAGAACTTTCATGTAAATAAAAGGACACCAAAAGTTATTGATGGTCAACCAGTGGAACTAAATTCCATTATGTACATTACTTATCTAATTCGCGTAATCTGACCACACAACTGACTAAGGTCCCCTTAAAACATTTATTCAACTATAGTTGAGAATGAGATTTCTAAAATATTTAGAGAAATATATGCAATTACAAAAATAATTATCCAATGACCTAATTTTTTGTTAAAGTTGATTGGGACACCAGTTAGAATTTGCTTGTAGCACTTTCTACAAACAGAATTAAACCAGAAAGATGATTGGGTACAAACTTTGTAACATGAAGATTAATCAAGTCAACATTAGAAAAAGACCCTTGCTTTTTATAGTGGAGAACTTACAAGAACAACTTTTTTGGTGTTTTCGATTCGTCAGAAGACTGGATATATAGAGAAATATATGCAATTACAAAAATAATTATCCAATGACCTAATTTTTTGTTAAAGTTGATTGGGACACCAGATAGAGTTTGCTTGTAGCACTTTCTACAAACAGAATTAAACCAGAAAGATGATTGGGTACAAACTTTGTAACATGAAGATTAATCAAGTCAACATTAGAAACAGACCCTTGCTTTTTATAGTGGAGAACTTACAAGAAAAACTTTTTTGGTGTTTTTTATTCTTCAGAAGACTGGATAAAGAGGGGGAAAAAAACTTGTTTCCAACAAAACAATTTTAATTTTCAATTAGTGAACTTGTTTTCATAGTTTCTATTTTCTAACAATTTTCATAGAAAAGTAAACATCTTCCACATGTTCTGCACATTACAGATCAAGAGAGTTCCAGTACGTGACACCAGGCAAGAAGATTCGCAACCATTTAAGATCAAAATATGAGTTATTCCTCCAATATTTCTCAGGATTCTAAGACTAAGAGAAAATGATCCCATTTAAGTGACTAACAACAAAAAAATAGTACATTGATAACACATTTTTTGATGGAGCGACAACATGGCATCCTAGCCCCATTAAGTTCCACAACTGCCTACCATTGATCCTTCCATGCACATATCTATACGTACTTTTATAAACTATCATAGTGTTCCATTAAGAACCAAACAGTGAACCGAAATTATTTTAATACATTCCAATTCTGTAGAAAAGTACTTAAATCTTCTAATATTAAATACTTCATATTTCAATTTAATTTTGGAAACTACATGCTTCCAATGGATATCTTGCTAATCTAAACGGGATTTTCTTAAAGGCCAAAAATAACACGTTTCAAAGTGTGTTTTAAAAAGGAATGACTGGCAAACTTAGTACTGTTTCTCCTTATTCACAGGCAACATCTGTATCATTCAGCAGGACATCCACCCTATCTATCTCTGAATGAATGGATGGTTTTCAGAATACTTTCTAAATATGAAGAAATTAGAATACGAGCCATGTTGGTTTGATATATGTGCAAAGAGTAACTAAAAATGAGATTCTGAAAATACAATGTGGCACATACATCTAGACCTTCTATTGAAGTCTGAGAAACTACGCAACAACTATCAACTACCAACTATTATCCTTCCTAGGTTTGATAGAATGTTTCATGAAAATCATCTTCCTATCCTGCCTAGAAATTACTAGAACTACAATGAGCTATCTCAATTGCCAGTATTCATGGATACTTCCTCCTAGCAAGGAGACATTAATCATATTTGAATTCAACCAGTTCTGCCTCAACCATTAAAAGTAAGGTAGGGAAAGAAATGGGAACAAACTGAACAAAGACAGAAGATCTTTCATGGTCCAAACCTGAAGAAAAATCATAACATATATAGAATAGAACAAATAGATTGTCCTAGTTCACCAATCTCCCTAAAGTTACAAACTAGAGAAGCTTAAACTGCAAACAAATAGCAGCCATTGCAAATGATCAATAAGGGATAGGATGGAAGGCATTTTCTAGGGAAAAAGAATGATAAAAGAAAGATATAGTGACTGGTATCCGAGTTGAAAAAAAATTGATGTAATTTATATAATACGTACTTGTGGCTGCACTATTTGTATGCTTCCTTGATATCAAATTTGGCACAATCCTACCAAGTCCAGTAGAAAGTACCTAATTGAATGCACAACAGCTTTAAGCTTCACAACATTGACAATAAGAAAAGTGTAATGTAGTTGCTGGACATTCCATTCAACGCCATCCAATCCAATCATATTGCAATGTCAGAAGAAAGAAAGGGGAAAAGGAGTTGGAAAACAATGGGAAGGTAAGAGTTCTTTTCGTTGAATTAGAAACTGAAACAAATAAATGGATAGCTTACAGTCATAACAATCAAGGCAGAGAGTGCACCAGATAAAACAGTTGATTTAGGGTGTCGCATTGCCATAAGAGCAGCTATTATAAAAGTTTCATCTCCAATCTAGCACCAACATAGAAACATTCAATGAAATCACGCAGAGAAAAGTTAAGTTAAGATATACTACAACAGCAGCAGCAGCAGCAGCAGCAGCAGCAACAACAAGAAGAAAAGAGTAGCGGAGCACAAACCTCGCTGACCATAATCATTGAGAAGCTAGCAAAGAATGCATCAAAAATTCCAAGACCTGAGTCCAATTTAAGACCAACAGATTTGGAATCACCGCCGTGTGTAACAATCTGCATCCATAAGTATATGACCAAAAAGATCTAAGAATTACAAAATCACATAAGATGATAAAAATCAAAATAAATACCATACCATGCCACGGCGGCCGAGATCTTGAAAGGATCTTGATTCATTTCCCTCATTTTCCACCCCGCTTTCCTATAATTAAATTAGAAAAAAAAAACGCATCAATTAAGATCTTACACAGAGAAAAATAAAATAAAAATTGATAAAAATCAGAAATAGAGAGAGAGAGAGAGAGAGAGAGAGAGAGACCTGAGCAGCAGCGATGGGAGAGGAGGAGGAGTGTAGTAGAAGAAAGGCAGCAGTAACTAGTATAAGGAGAAATCTAGGGTTTGAACGAAACCCCATCAGACAGGCGTATTATAATATTCAAACGAATTTTTCGACAAAAGAGAGCAGGCAATTCTGGAATTTTGGATCTGAAAAACCAGGAATTCCTTTTAAGCTGAGAGTTGACAGCCGGACACCAGTAGCGAGATCTCTAAGCAGAGACGGAGTAGAGGCAGTGAGAGATCCTGCATTCAGCCAAGATCCCCACGAGAAAAGATGCGTAAACACATCTTTTGCAATTTAATAAAAGTTACCGCGTGGAACTGGAAAGTTTGACTCCCTGTTTTTTAATAAAATGTAAATACGGGTTTGTATTAAAGCCTTCCTCGGCTATGTCGTCAAGACTTTCAAGTCGGTTTCGGACACGCGGATAGATGCAGGGAAGATCCAACTTATAATTGATACTACTATAGTTTAATTTTTTTAATTAAATTTTTTTTATTATTTTTTAAATTAATTAAAATTCTATATTTTTATAAATTTATTAATTGAAACTCTTCATTATAATACTATTAACTATTCATTTTATATGAAAAGTTAAAAATAACGATAACTAATCGGATAACGATATGTGACATAATGGGTCTCAAATATCAATCTTATTGTAAGAAATTAAAAAAAAAATTTAAAAATATTTTTAATAATAAATTAATGTTTAAAATCAAAAAACATAACAAAAAGATAAATTTACCCTCACCCATCGTCCTAAAGCCAAATAATTTTTTTCCATTTAGAATTCCAGTTCTCTCTCTCTCTGTCTCTTCTCCCCTTACAAATCTCTCTACTTGTTTTAAAAAATCAAACAACCTAACTTCTTTCCATCAATTATAATTATTCATGATATGGAAAAAAAAATTAAGACAAGAAAACAAGAATATAAGTGATTTGACTTGGAGGATCCCAAAAATCACTCCATTGATCCTTAGAGTTTTCGAGAGTGTTAGGATCCCAAAAAATCACTCCATTTCTCTTATATTAGATAATAAAACATAGATGTCATACTCATGGCTTTTACTATCATATAAAACATTTGTATGTAAGATACACTCAACGGAGAGATCCTTCGAGTAGTCATTTCGCAAGTGAACATCACCATTATTCTTTACCTTTCATCCCTACATCACAAGAACTTGGTGAGCGATTACCTAGTAAGTAATCATGCATGACATGTATGTATGTACGTGAAATACACATGAAAAATCATTTTCATGTCTTTTCTAAAATCCGTTTCATGCTTAGACATGCCCTATCGAGTATTAAAAAGTATATGTTTGTACCCAATCGGCTATCTTCCCCGTGCAATTCTCCTATGGGGCCATCACCAATTCCTCTACAGTCGAGGCAATATCAATTCTCTCAATGAGAAATATCATTTCCTTCTATTGGAGCTTACCCCATATGAAGAATTTCTTTGGCTTTAGCCATTGTCGGCTCATTGATGAAGAAAATGCCAAGGACCATGAAATATTTTCACATTTTTTTCGAAAACCATAAAGGATATCCTTTCCATGACTTTGAATTTTTCCATGACTTGGCATGCACATGCATTTAATAAAAATGCATAACGCTCGTGGATCGTGTAATACATGTCATGCGTGATGTCCATTTATAACACAACATAACATATCGCAATGTAATAAAATGCATCATAAAATACATCACCTTATAATTCATATCAACTCATTCACGGTGCACAATTCAATTACAAACCATCAATACGGGGCATCACGAATGTCACATTTCACATCAACGATCAAATAACGGTATATTACACCAACCATTCAAGTATTTCCTAACTTTCATAAACATACACGATTAGGTCACAAACATCACATTTCACACCTTGAAAACAAAAATTACAATTAATTCCTCATAAAATCATCAATTAAGCATTCAAACGCTAAAAAGTGTCTAAAAACCTTAATTTTTCCCATTTAGGTCGAAATCTCACCTAAGCTAGAATAGATTATTTTTTCTATTTTAATACAATTTTTCATGCTAGAATATCTTGTTATACTTCGCTAACAAGTAATTAATCAATTAAATATCAAACACATAAAAGCATCAAAAGCCCCTAAATTCACTATTATGGTCGAAACTTTCATCAAGAAAAGGCCAAGGAATTTTTCATTTTTCTTGCTCAATTTCATGCCCAATTAACATATTCTAACATTAGTTACATGAATTTTCATATCCAAATAACTTTTCTCAATTTTTCCTAACTAAGAATCCTAACCCTAATTTGTGAAATTAATTCAATTAAACACAAATTAAGGACATAAAATTAACAATTAAAATCAATTACTATGTTTTTGATATGTAAGTGCGATTAACTTACCTCTAAAGCTCCAAATTAACCCTTGAAAGATTGGATTGCTTTGAAATTTTTCCTTCCCTCTTTTCCTCCTAACTTTCAGCCAAGAGTCCCTTTTTTCTTCCTTGGAAATTTTGATGTTTAAACTTAAATTCTAGGCTTAATAAGATGTTTTAGGGTGAGTTTAAGTGTTTGGGTGAAATTTTGGGTGATTTTCTAAGAGTTTCCCTTGGATTTTTCAACTTTTCAATATTTTCTCTACCTTTTCTACCCATATTTATAGGTGAGCTTGGTTATAATTTTTCTTATTTGACTTGATCTTGACCCTTTATTTGGTTTAATCTATACTCTTGATTTTGCTTCTAATCCTAGCCCTTCATTTGTTTTAATCCTAAACTACCATCATTCTTTAATTTTCGTCCCTTTATTTTACTTCATCTTAACCCTTGATTAAGCCTACAAGTCAAAGCGAATTAATTAACCATAATCATGGAGGGTGAGAGGCAGCAAAAGAGAGAAAAATCTCTCCTAAAATTGTTTTATTTTAGTCTCTCATTTTATGAAATTTTCTAATTTTTGCTCCTCCACAAGCCCTTCAAATATTTAATTGACCACCTTAGGTCCTTCCTTAAGGTCTATTCTAACAAATTTTTATTTCCATAAGTTCATTTATAATTTTATTTGAAATTTTAAAATTTTAATTTTTTGTAATTAGGTCCCTAATTCTATGCAATTAGATCCCTATGTATGCATAATTTATTCCACACCTTTCGAAAATTAATTTCTTTTCATAATAAATTCAAACACTTCCTATAGTAATTTATTCATCATTCACATAATTTTTATACGCACATTTAGGCACTTAAATTAATTATTTTGCATAAAAATGCACTCATTCCAACATAAAATATTTCCTAAGCACGTAAAAATTCACCTAAGTGCATGGAATATTCCTACACCTCTCTAGCAATTTTTCTATACCCATTGAATAATTTTTATGCATATTTAAAATACTTAAAACAATTAATTTGTATAAAAAGTACTATTCGTGCATTAAAAAGCCAAGTAAAATATTCATTAAACATAGAAAAATTAACTCAAATGCACGGAATATTCTAGTACCCCTCTAACAAATATTTTATGCACGAGAGAATAATTTTCAAACACATTTAAAATATATTGATTCATTTATCCTTAGGTTCGGGATATTATACCTTCGTCCTAAAAATTTTGTCCTCGAAATTTCTAACCACACAACCCGGGATATCGAGCTCGAATTTCCGCCTCTTTTTCCCATGTTGCCTTTTTAACATTATGGTTCCTCCGTAATATTTTCACCAAAGGAACCTTCTTACTACGTAGTTGCTTGACCTAGATTTTCTCTTCTTTTTTCCTTCCTTAATCAACCTCAAACTCAAAAATTTTCTTCTTACATCCGCATAATTTTTTGGTTGACTCTTGCAAACTTCTTCCACATTCGATGTCCCATTAATACTTAGCATTTTTCCTTATCGATCAAGTGAGAGGCACGACTATCCTAGAAAATCCTTTCATAAATTTTCGATAATAACCTACCATCTCAAGAAAACTTTTTACTTCTTACATATTCCTTGGCTATCTCTCGCTCTTACATTGTTTGTGCTTTACTAGAATCTACCATAATCCAAGTCTTGGATACTACGTATCCAAGAAACGCTACTTATGCAAGCCAAAATGCACATCTTTTGAGTTTAGTATATAGTTTGTGCTCTTGTAAGGTTTGCAATGCTCTCCTTAAATATTATGCATGCTCCTCATAACTCCTTAAATATATTAAGATATCATCAATGAACACCATTATAAACTTATCCAAGTATTCATGGAGCACCCCATTCATCAAATTCTTAAACACTACCAGCAGCATTAATTAACTCAAATAGCATTACTAAGAATTCATATTGCCCATATTTATTCCTAAATATTGTTTTCTTCATATTTTCCTCCTTAATTCTCGACCGATGATATTCTAATTGGAGATCAATCTTGGAGAACACTCGAACTCCCTCTTAATTAATCAAATAAATCCTTAATCCGTGGGAGCGGATACTTATTCTTAAAGGTCACTTGATTTAAATCTCGATAATCCATACTTAATCATAGTGACCCATCCTTTCTCTCTACCAATAATATCGATGCTCCCCATGACAAATCATCAAGTCAAATAAGGCCCTTATCTAGCAGCTTCCTATACTTAAGTCTTAAGCTCCTTTACCTCTATTGGGGCCATTCGATATGGTGTCATGGATATAAATGTTGTTCCTGCTCTATCTCAATTTCAAAGTCAATCTCCCTCCTCGAAGGTAATCTCAATAAAATTTTAGAAAAAACATTCAAAAACTCCATAACTACTTCAGCTTTTTCTAACTTTGGGCTCTCCTCCTTTTTAGTAACAACCATGTTCACTAGGTAGCTTATACATTCACCTTTCATCATTTTCTAGGTGGTCACTACCGAAACTATGGTTATGGATCTTATCCCGATTCCAATTTATAACTCAAAGGGTTGCTCTTCCATCGAGTGGAATATCACTCTTTTAACTAAACAATCAATTGATGTTCCATTCTTAGACAAGCAATCCATGCCCGGGATAATATTGAAGTCTTCAATACTCAAGACTATAAGATTAACATATAAAATATGATCTTTAATTCGTACTTCACATTTC